TAAGCAATCTAAACTTTTTTTCTTATATTATAAAAACTAATTTTGCAAAAAAGTAATCCTTATTTTCAAATATAATTATACAAAGTTTTATTTAAATATTTTAGCATTTTAAAAAAGTAAATTAGAGCTAAAAAAGTGCAAAAACATAGGCAAATTTGTCTGTATTAGTTTACATATTAAAAGATAAACTTTGTAGCTTTGATATTTTTTGATCTATATATTAATTTAAAATTAAATTCTGCAATTATATATATAGAGTATTAAAAAAAGAATTTTTTTACTTTAACTAGCAAGTTATAGCTTTGTTATCTTTGTATATTTTAAAAATATAACTTCATCAAAAATAAAATTTTACTGATTTTAAAGTGATAAATATATGTAAAAACATGCTCTAAACAACTTAGAAGATTGGATTATCTTAATAAAAAAACAAGTTAGCTATATACTAAAATTAAAAATTCTAATTTTTCTATATATAACTTTTTTTTTTACTTATATATATAATCTGTCTTTGTTTTTTAAATAAAGCTATTTAGCATAAAATTTTACACCTTTAGAGTATTTTTGTTCATTTTTGCGAACTTTTTACTAAGTACAAAATAGAGTTAAAGTTAGAAAATTTTTTTTTTAAAAAAAAAAATTTTCTAACTTTAACTCTATTTTGCACTTAGTAAAAAGTTCGCAAAAATGAACAAAACCATTTTAAAAATATAAAATTTTATGCTGAACAACTTTACTTAAAAGATGAAGATAGATTATATAAGTAAAAAAAAAAAGTTGCTCATAAAAAAACTAGAATTTTTAACTTTAGCACATAGTTAACTTGTTTTTCTATTAAGGTAACCCACTTTCATCTTCTAAGTAAAGTTGTTTAGAGCATGCTTTTACATATATTCATCATTTTAAAATTAGTAAAATTTTATTTTTGGCGAAGTTACATTTTAAAATATGCAAAGATAACAAAAACTATAACTTGCCAGTTAAAGCAAAAAATTTCTTCTTTTCATGCTCTATATATATAATCGCAGAATTTAATTTTAATATGTAGATCGAAAAACATCAAAGCTGCAAAGTTCATAGTAATTTCATATGTTTTTTATTATAATTTTATATGTAAAAAAATTTATGTGTGACATATCATGTAACTGATATATATATAAATCTGCCTCTCTAAACTAACCAATCGTATTGTACATATATATATATATTTAAAAATCCCAATTATACATATACGTACAAATATATACATATGTTTGATTTATTATGTTGACCAAACACCCCAACGTACTGTATAGATTTATGTTAAAACACGAAATATGAAATACATAAATTACAGAATTATCGTTTTAGCACCAATAATATAAAACTATAAAATATTATAGATTAATAAAGATACTAATAAAACTATTTAATTTAATAAATTGATATATAATTGCTATAAAATAATATCGTCATACATTATTAATAAATTATACGTTTCGTATTTAATAGAGTTTATTTGTTAACATTAATACTTCGTGCTTCAGAATAAAATTTTCACTAGCATTAGGTTCGAGTGAAGTTTAAGCTAGGTTAGGAATAGTTGTATTAGTATTATTGTAGTGATGTAAATATATATTTAAAGAATAACCATTACATAATAATATATATATATCGTTGTATACAGTATATATATATATATATATATAAATTATATATTAAATATACTATCGGTACCTGTATGTACCAACGCAGTAACGGATTTGCGTTTAACGAAACCATCGTCCATGGTAACCAATAAAATTAATGTTAGTAACTAAAAAAAAAAAAACTCGATGATGTTAAAATATGATAACCTTAAGACCTTGAGAAGCTTTCTTGTGAAAAAACGATATATAATCTGAGTACTTTAATTTCCATAAAATGAATTCAATGAATCCGTAACATGTTTCGTTTAACGTTAATTTTTTTTTACGATTGATATTTGTATAAGCCGATAATGTATGAACAGAACACATGATTGCAAAGTCTCGTCTTCTTTACAATGATCATTTCCTTTAATTTGCAATACGCCGCTATTATCCCGTCGTCATACTCTTTTAAAAACTACCTAATGTATTTAAAGTTCCCACCATATAGAGGAAGAAAGAGATAATTCCAAGTTCTGCAAATAAAAACTCTAAAAAAAGTAATTTTCTACAACGTTAAACAATAATTGTACCAATCTATCAAGTTAAATTTTTAACGAATGAAAAAAACATTTAGTCCGTTAAAAAAAAAAGAACTATTTGATAGATTTGTTTTTTTAAGGTTTATTATCTCCCTCCGTTTCCCCCGTTTTTAAAGTTATAATTGATTTGAAAAACGGTGAATAAGAGGGAGTGAATTTTTTTTTTTTTATTCATTGATGGTATATATATAGAAATAAATGCTGCATCTTTGCACAGTTTCCTATCAAATCACAACGCCCACATTGGAGAATCATGAATTCTAGAGAAAATAACCAATCCGAACTAAACATTATATTTCCCAAAGCGTTAATTTTTTTTTTTTTTTTTTTTTTTTTTTTTTTTAATTGATTGTTTTTAAATGAGAATCCCTCGTTTCCCCATGTGATAAGTGCGTTATAATAGTTACAAAAGCATTTTTCCATATTGAAAAATCGATAATAGATATAAAGTATACATAATTGAAAGCAGGAATAAAAAACAGTCCAGCAGAAAGTAAAATGATATAAAATACAAGATAATTGTCTCAACAAATATAATGAGGTATGAAAAAATAATACAGTGTTGAAATCTGAATATAAGTTCTTTCTGCAAAGAAAAATTTTTTTTCACGTTATAAATTGAAATCGTTAAAAAAAAAAAAAAATTCATTTTTTGTTCCCCCGACCCGCGGGAGCCGTATAAATCATTCGGAGCCCACGGGCAGGGAACAAATTGATCATTCCATCGGTTCTCTAAAAGTGGAAGCACAAATCTACCAATAAATACAAATGCAATTTTATATAACAAAAAATCCATGCGTGAAATGCTCGACCATGTTAGAAAACGTGTAAACTTGTAAATAAATTAGCAAATGACACAACAGCAAATCGATTTTTCAACATAACCGTCGTCTTGATCCTTTTTCTTTTTATTTTTCTTATCCTTCTTTTGTTTCTTTTTGTTCGTTGAATTTTTGGTTAAAGTTCTCTCAAGTTTCAACGCAACAGGCGCAACATTGGATTGAACTGAATAGACCCTATCGTTCTGTGCCGTAAACGAATTCTTTAAAAAGAAAAAAAAAAAGATTAAAATAAAAATTGGTATAAAAAACCACAACGAACAATTTTTTATTATAACATACATTAGTAATCTCTTTCGACATCTCATTCTGCTCAACGGACTCTTGTTCGGGAACAAGTGGTGCTGGCATAATTGACGTCGGTGATTCGGAATGTGTTACTGGCTATTAAAAAAAATTTACAAAAGGAATCACAAGAGAATAATGTATGGTCGGAAATAAATAAGAAAATAATAATAATAATAATTAAGAAACGCTTTATTCAATAAAGAATTTACCTCAATATCAACATCATCCTCATCATATTTAGTTAAAAATACAAATTCTTCTCTTCGTGATTTTCTATCACGTTTTCTAAGATCATCATTAAAAGGAACATCCTCTATTGCAGGAGTAATAATTACATCGTCAGTTTGTATTTGAACATTACTATATGTTTTACTATTTCTTCGAGAATTTGGACGAGATTTCCTTGTTGGTCTTCTGGGCGCAGATTTTCGCCGACGCCGTTGATAACTTGCGACTGACGATCGTTTTTTCGTACTTTTTTGTAATTCATCTTCAAATTGATCATTTACATCCTCAAAAAGATTCTCAACTTGATCAGTTACATCCATATAACCGGATTCTGGTCTTGGTTTAATTTTATCAGATTCATCAGGTTCATCACTAACTCCTAACAGAGCTTCATGATTAGAATAAGGTAATTGTCCATTCATTTTAAGTTTTTTTGCTAAAGTAGGTATGATCATATCATCATGAGAAATTATGGATTTTTTGGAAGGTTCATCATTTATTGGTGATTCAGAATCAAGTTGTTCTTGTAATTCTAATGAATAAGCTGTGATGATCGGACGAGATTTTGACATTCTTGGAGCACGAGTTTGTTGAATTTGTGTTTCCGTAGTTTCCATAGAGGTTGATTCTACTATTGGAGAATCATTCGATGGTTGTGGACTTAATAAATGAACACTTTCATTGGTGACAGTTTCTGATATTGACCCATTAAGTGAAGTCTGTGTAGTCACATTAGCAGTTTCTGGTATTGGCCCGTTATTAATTGGTGTATGTGCTGTCATTGGAGTCATTGGAGAGCCACTGCTAGGAGGAGTTTGAGCGATCATTGGAGTCATAGGAGGACTTCTAGGTGGGGTAGCAGGTGGAGTAGCTATACCATCGACAGAAAGATGACTCTTTGCTGCAGTGTTGTTATCATCATCCTTATAATCATTTGTATTGATTTTTTTATTTTTACGATTATTTTTTAGTGTATTCTTCCTGTTAACGGATACGGTCATTTCAGTAGTACCATTTAAATCCTTATTTGAATAAGGAGTTTGAATAGCATTATCAGCGTCAACATCGACATTTTCCTTTTCACTACCACTTTCTTCAGATAATGGGCGTTTTTTTGTTAATTGACTGATCCGTATAGCTGAATCAAATGCTATAGTTGAGCTTGTTGTACTCGTATCTGGATTATTATTATCCATAAATGCGTCTTTTTCAATCTTACCAGCAGTCACACGATCTTGTTTTTCAGTTTCAGGGCCAACAGAATTATTCCATGATTTTACTTTTGTTGTAGGAATATCAGTCGCATTTGATGATGAACTACTCGAATTATTGACATCTTTTAATGTCTTTAATTGAGAACCATGAAAACTATCACCATTATTTTTAGTATATTGTTTGTTGAGTGTTGAAGGTGAAGTTCGTACATCAGCACTAGAAGGTTTTTGTGGTGGTATATTAACGTTATTTATAGGATGTTCAGAAGCATTACCAGAGTATCGAGGGATTTTGTCACGTTTTCTGAAAGGCTCCGGTATATTTCGTTCATTTGAGTTAATACTTGGATGTATTGGAACAGATTCAATCGCCTGCTTTGAATGTGTATAATCAAAAAGTAAATTATTATTAGCATAAATAACCTTGAGTAATTTTTTTTTTTTAATTACTTTTAACTACAAGTTAAACAAGTTAAACATAATAAGAGATGTTTACTCACCGAATCTGTACCGTTGAAACGAATTTCGAAAGCAGGAGCAACTTTTCCCATTATCCTTTTAGACGACATCTGATATTATATAACATTAAGAAGACTTTTGTAAAAAAAAGGATTTCCCAAATATACTTCCTTCAAAGACCAACTATTCTTACTCTTCAAAGGGGTACTTATGCGTTAAGTGACTTAAGGTAAAAGAGGTAAATGGTTGATTTACGAGAATATAAAAGGGTTTTTCGTTTATGCTTTTTTTTTTTTTTTTTTGTTTTTTTTTTTTTTGTTGTATTTTATAATTTTTTTTCTTTCTTTTTAAATTTTCTTTTCGAAAAAAAAAAATGAGGCTATGATAGTGATAGCGGTTGTGGTTAAGGTCGAAGTGTTTGTTGATATATATGTATGTGTTACTGCCACTGATATTTAAGCAGTTTACTTTTTAACGAGTATTACAAAAGTTGTTCGCTTTGTGAAATAACTGAAGGCTTTGATACCAGCAGCCCGCTGCAAATCTTAAATATTTTTTTTTTCTTTTTTTGTAAGAAAAAAAAAAAAGTATGGCAGTGAAAAGGAAAGTTATAAGGAAGAAAGAAAAAAAAAAGACAACACAACTAAAAATTCGTAAAAAGGAAACAACACGAAGAAAAAAAAACGAACCAAACGAATCAAGGATTTATCACCAAATTACTAATAATCACAGTTTAAAAAAAAAATTTTTTCTTGCAAGAGATTCCTACGGTGTTACGGATTATCCGCTATATATTTTTAGTTTATCACATATGATAAAATTTGATATATTTGTGGCGAATAATTTAAATAATGAAAATAATGAAGAAATTGAATAACGAACATGTAAGAATCAACAACTTACATAAGTCCTATCCACGGGTATTTCCGGCGCATATATATAATAATTTCGCGTCTTTTTTTATATATTATTACTAAGACTAAGTAAGATTACAACATTAATAGCTATGTGATTTGGTAAGTTTAACAAAAAAAAAAAATCCCGCCAGAATCCACAAAGTATCTATGCGATATTATGTGTACCAAATTATTATTTAGGCCGAATGCTCGTCTAGTTGTACAGTTGTACAACAGTTAACGTTAAGAGGAAGTGCAAAATAGGAATAGCATAATCAGGGTAACATAATCCTCTTTGGAAATCTTTTGAAGTATAAATCTGTGATAATGTGCCTAACATGCCTAATATACCTCTTAGTTACCAAAAGTAGCATTTATTCTTTATACAATACATACTTTTGTACGTACGTACACGAAAGTCAAAATGCTTACCTGCAGGGCTTAAAAAGTCTTCTATTCGTTCACGTGGTACCAAAGAAAATAGCTCTATTTTTATCCTAACCATTAAAGAAAGGTTAATTAGCCTCATCGCTAAATGCATTTATACGTATTGAGCCCCCGAATTCTGTGCCAAAGATTATTTATTATTATTAATGCTAGGTAAGTTTATTCGTTGATTAATTAAAAGGTTTAATGAAGAAAATCGAAGATCATAAATAATTATATTGACTAAAAAAGGAGATAGTGAAGTTCTTAAAGAAGTATAGATCCAATAAGTACTTCTTCCTGGGAAAAAAAAATAATCATAATTGGCTTTTCATTAGCCCTTTCCCTCCTTTTTTTTTTTGAATAAGAAAATGGCAATACTTTATTATTTGGACTTTTTCGTGAAACTGATTTATGCAGAATACATACGTACGTACATGATAACGGTAATACCTTTTTAAAATCAGATGACTAGAAGAAAATCTGAATTATCAATGTGGATTACCAATCCGAGATAACCATTTATAGGAGAAAAGGAGTTTATCGTATTAAAATTGCAGATGGTGCATAGATGGTCTTTATGAAAAATGAGTTGAAAAATGACGGGGGCAAAATAACCGCCCGATATTAGGCGTAAGTCTTTATCTTCCTATGTGTTTGTTTCATATATAGTGGCGAAGTTTCAAGTTATTGAATGTTATTGAATTTTATTACAGTTTTACGCCTTTTTTCTAACTACGAATTTTTTTAAACTTTGAACGTTACTACGCCTCTTAGATTATTTATCCCATTGTTTTACCATTTTGGTGTCTACCTTTTTTAGCGTTAAATTTTAACACCAATAAAAAATCTTAAATTTTTTACGGAGTGGGGTACGCTTTTGAGCTTGTATGCGTTGATCGGGTTATCACAACACTATCACAACTTTATCACAATAGTTTCAACACCAAACAAAAGATAAACTCTATATAAATACCCTAACCGAAAACACTTTAAAACAGATTTTCCCATGTTTATGTGTGTGTGTTGTTAAAAGTGTATGTTGATTGTAACTTCATGAATCGAGAAAAAAACAAATGATCCAATCATTATTCTTTTTACAAATCTTTACTATTTTCACTAACATTTATGGTTTGTTATTTTCGCCTTTTTGTGCCGCGTTGTACCTGTCAAAACATTTATAAAGATACATTTTAAAATTTTTCATTGGTCACACATATACGTACTACCTACAAGTTCCGCCCCAAGCTAAGCGATAAGTTTTTAACATATACGTTAATATGGTAATTCCGAAATATCTATAACGATAATGATAAAATATAAAATGGATAAAATGACACGCGATCAAGTTAATCAAGGATTGGTTAGATCTGTATAATATACGTTATAAATCCCTTTGTTTTCTATTTTCTGATCTTACCTTTTTACTATAATACCTGATATTATATCAGATATTTATTTCTGATTATTATTAATCTACGTAAAGTCTTGCAGATACTACATCAAATGACGCTTTAATCGAGATTAACTACACTTTTTGTTGTACTTGTGTAAATTTGATATAATATGCAATAAATAAATGCATTAAAAAATTAAAATTAAATTTAAGAATAAGGTAAGCGTAAAAGTATTATCAAAAAATTTAAAAAGAATAACAATGAGGAAAAAATTTACCTTATACTGAATTAGAAATGCAAAAAAGAAACTTTCTTCGTTCTCAATTTCCTTGTGCTAAATAGCATAGCATAAATGCGGGGTGATTGGGCCAATTTATCATAATATTTTATGCAGTATTGTTTGTACTGTAACTTTGAGTAATGCCAGATAAGGAATATTTGCTATAACATACAAAGGCTTAGCGTTATACTTTGTAAACAATGGATAAAAGTATAATGTTGTGATAAATTTATATACTATATTGTTATTAATATAGGGAAAAGCGTGAAATTGAATTCTATTTCAAGTGAACGTTAACTGGTACCTTTTTAAAATTAATTATCAAAATCGGTAAAAGTGATAAAATTTTAGCGTTATAATCTACGCACTTACGTATAAAATATTATCTATAACAGATATAATACAGTATATATATATATATATAAAATATCCCATATTGTATAGATGTCTTCACTGAAACTTGTAAAATAGCAATTTGCAATTATATAACTATAAAGTATATAAAGTATATAATAACTATACAGTTAATTGATAGTAGTAATTTTCTTTATTATATTACTATATATTTATTATATATTAGCAATACGCCTTCTACTTAATTTTGCAATTTCAGTAAAGATATTTTAATATTGCTTTCAACTTTTTTGAAACACTTTCTTTATTGACTGATTCTTGAAATGTTTCCCTTTTTTTTGTTACATTTTTCATTTTAAATCTTAAACGCTTTGATTATTATTCTTTATTGACTGATTCTTTAAATGTTTCCTTTTTTTTTGTTACATTTTTGCATTTTCAATCTTAAACTCATTTTCAGGGTCAGTATGAGCAATAGCAACGTATTTAGTGTGTCTACCTTGAGCTACTAATCTTCCATCATTTTTATTGTGCATTTCTACAATGGTAAATGCAAGTGTTTTACCAAGCTTTACACATTCTGCGTTCTGAGAATAATATTAAAGTATCAAAGAATGATAATAAATAAACAATACATTAAAATAAATTATTAATTAATCTGTTACACGAGGAATTTTCTCAGGAAGAAAAAAAATTCTTACCACAAGTAAAGTATCTCCTTTTCCCACCGATCCGATATATGAAACATTTATATCCGTACTAACTCCTGTAAGGTGCATTCCCTTAGATGCTACAGCTAGTGATCCACAAACATCAACTAAAGATGCTATCATTCCTCCATGAGCTGTTTTTAGACGATTCTATTGCATTTAATTGTTAATTATTTTAAAATTGTTTTATTTCCATTTATTTGAACTTTAAAGCTTTATATATAATAAAAGCCTCATATACCATATGATGTGCTTGAATAAGTATTTCAGCACTGACTTTGCCATCCGTTGCATTTGTTATTGCCATCTATGAATTTTTCAAAAAAAAAGAAAAATTAAAGAATATTGTTAATTGTACAATTTTAATTAATTCATTCACTCTTATTATTAATAATATATATCAAGTTAGATCGAAAAAATACTAAACATCTTTCATAAGAAATCCATCAAATCCACCATCAAGCATTCGTTGAAATATTTTGCGAACCCAATTCGTCTTACTAACTCCTGTTGACGCCATAATCAAAGGAAAAGATTTGTAAATATTTAAAATAGAACAGATTTGTGAAATGTTGCCTTATATCGTGTTACAGCGAAATCGAAAATATATATAGAAAGGATAGTTGTTATAAGTCACATGATGCAGAAATCTCTTCATGTTTGTAGTACTAGAAGTAATCGATAAAGTTAAATAATTACACAATGCTGCAGTATCGTGAGAAGTGATACAAAATTCCGTCCATTTTGTATTCTATTAAATTCTCATTTTGAAAAAAAAAAGTACAATTATCTTATAAAACAGGTTATATATATATATATTACATATTACGTATATGCCTAATGTTATACCAAATACTTCTCGCACGCGATATAAAATATACTATAGAACATATTAATTAACTTAAACACTACTTAAACGTCAAAATATTACGTAATATCATCTACCCTAAAAGTGTTTAATGTGTTCAGTATAGTATTCTTTTGCTTTCTTCCGAATCTGGATGCACCTGAGTAATTATATTCTGAAAATCATTGTTCTGACTCTGCATAAATTTCGAAGTCACTGTATTCAGTTTTATCGCATATTTTTGAACTACATTTTTCTTCTGAAAATTGAGATATTGTCGAGCTCTTTTCTTTCGAGTTTTCAATAGGACAATAAGTTTTTAAATTACTTTCATCCAATTTCTCAATTTCATTATCTTCCTCACGGCAGTGTTCTTTGCACATCGGATGTATCTGTTTTAATCCATTCTTACTTTCCATTGTCACCTTATTTTCATTTGCACAAAGTTCTTCTAATTCATTTATATCCATAACATCATCCAGTCCTTTAGATTTCAATACTATGTAAACAACGTGAGGCATTTGTTTTATCAATTCTTTAAGAGCCATTTCTGCGACTAGTTCTTTTGCCAAGATACATGTTCCTTTAAAACCACCAAAAGATCTTTTTAAAATTGGTACACGTAGTAAAGCAACATATCTAGAATTTTTTAATGATGATCTTAACGCGTATCTCGCATTAAGATATTTCATGATCGCATCAAAAATACTAAAGAGGAAGAGCTCAGGTATTAATTCTTGAGAAGAATGGACTGATTTGGAAGTTTCTGATTCTGGTAATAATACCATCTCATTCGAGCTTTTTTGCGATAAATCTGGACTATCGTGTCCGTAATGTTGTTGAATGCTTGTGAATGCATGTGGATGTTGTCCAAGCCACGATATATGTGATGAGCCTAAAAAAGATGCTTGCAGATGATTCCGTCGTCTCCCTGTGGCTCTCTGTTCGTATTGTGGTTCATTGTTTCGTACCGGTACCGATCGTGACGAATTAGTGATTGTTCTTGTACAATACTCATCATTTCTATTATTAATAAAAAAGATACCATTTTTTGATATTTTTTAAAAGGTTAGAGATTACACGAAAACCGATTTAATAAAAACCTTAAATAATCCCTTGGATTTCCTTCTGAATGCATAACGGGTAAAGATGATGTGTATAAAGACCTTCCATTACCATTATTATGTTGAATAAATCTCGGAATATTTGCTTCACGTGACTCGGAAAAATCTTTGTCACTTTGTCGTAATTGCACAGGCGTAAACGGTGCGTCAAAATCAATATAGTTGGTAAAAGAATCGCCACCGTTAACATTATTATTATGATTCGCAGCGAAAGAATATCGTGAAGTAGAACGACGTGAAGTTCTTGACGCGGAATACATAGTAGCAGAAGATATTTCAAAATAAATATTATCAGTTAAATTATCACGATCTTCAGGTCTAGTTATTTCTGTTTTATTGTCGTTATCTTCAGCAGCCGAAATTTTATAGTTACGAAGGTATAAAGGAGGTGAAGGTGGAAATGAAGTAGGTAAAATTCTGGTGTCACGTATTCCTGTATTCTTATGGAAAATGACGATCTTGGTAATAAAAAATTTAAAAAATTTTTTGTGCCATTTTATCCCAATTTATATACTGTATCAAAATTTTATCAATAACCAGTAAATTTTCAGGTTCAGAAAAGTTAACAAAGTCTAAATTCAAAGTTATTACGATCTCGAAATTTTACACGAAATTAACAGGTGAATAATGCAATTAGAAATATGTGAAGTTCTTTACAAGTCGAAAAGATTAATTCCACTCATACTTTATTATTTTACCAAATGTACAAAATGTACGATATACAGTCAACTCTAACCTCTCTAATCCGAACACTATTAAATTCTCTCTAATCCGAACCTAAAACTCCATGACATTTGTAAATTTTATTATAAAGTTCGGATTAGCATATAGTATCTCTTTGAGAACTGAACTTTTTGACCAATTTTACATATAAGAACGGACTGGTCGGATTAGAAAGAGTTGACTGTACCTGGTACGTACGTATACGTACTGTATAATGATTGCAGTTATTTATTTACCGGGTATTTTATTTATATATCTGATACGTATATTTATTTACGTATTAAATTTATTTATTTTATTGTTATTAGGTATTGCAGTATTGTTATTATTAAATAATTAATATGTTGTACCAGTAATTGTAATACCTCTCAAAGTACGCACGTACGTACGTACAGTACGTACATGATATCTGATATTAATAATGCGTCATTTGTTGTTTATGTACAGTATATATTTACATAACAATCAATTGCAGTTCAGAAGTTCTCCACATAACATTTAGAAGCATTCCAAGTTCTAGAAAATCTGTCATTTGAAGTTCAAATAACAATATCCGTAGAATGGATATATGGGCTAGGTGCTGAGAAAATGACAATTTTTTCAAAAGCTGTTTTTTACATAGATCAATTTAAAAGATTAGGATCATTTTTCACTTAAGACAAAAGCAGTTGTGTTAATAAAATTTTGCAATTAAAATTTGCATTTTCTTATGATTTACAACATAAAAATTGATTTTCTGAGGATCTTCCTTTTTGTCAATTTCGTTCCTTTTCTCAGCACCTTTGTCTTGAAAATGACCTTACGGGACTATGTAGATTTTATAAATAAAAATTAAAATTTCTGGCTATCCAGTAATCCAATTAAAATAAACTTTTTTTTTATTTTGTAAAGCTTAGTGAATTCTACAAAATAAAAAAAAAATTACTTGAATTGGATTGTTAGATGGCTAGAAATTTTAATTTTTACTCATAAAATCTACATAGTCTCGTAAGGCTATATTTTCAAGGCAAAGACCCCATGTTGTTATATAGTTCAATGATCCAATAGTTTTGATTAGATATTCATTACGGCGTATTTGCGAAATTAGGCAGACAATTTGTTACCAAATCCAAGCATTTGGTTTCTCAAATTAAATTTTAGTTACCGAATTATATATTAACAAGTAATTTTTAACAAAGTAAATATTTGTTTTGAATTTTCTTGATCATAAACTATTACTGTATATCTGAGTTTGGTGTTACAAAAAAGAGAGAAATCAACAAAACAAAAGATTTTTAGAAGATCAATTTTTGTTATAAATTTTATAATAAATCATAAAAAAATATAAACTTTAAAAAGCTATATTACAATTATTTTTAATGGGTGATTCTCCAGTCAACTGGTTCAAAAATTTTTTTTTTATATATAAATTTTATTATAAGTGCAAATGCACAGCGTCTCTATCTAAAACTTTTTTTTATATTAAGTTAATCATCTTTTTAACTTAAGAAACTTTTGTAAAGCTTATTAAAAATGTATTTAATAGTGGTTAGAACTTCAAAATCAGCTTGGTGAATGCCAAGATATCTTTAAAAAACCTTTTTTTTACTATGTAAATTTTTTTGCAAACAATAGTATTGTTTGTAAAGAAATTTATATAGTAAAAAAAAGTTTTTTTAAAGATATTTTAGCATTCACCAAGCCGATTTTGACATTCTAACCACTATTAGATGCATTTTAATAAGCTTTACAAAAGCTTTTAAGTTAGAAAGATGATTAACTTAGTATAAAAAAAAGTTTTAGATAGAGGCATTGAGCATGACCAAAATCCTATATACACAAATATAATATACAATTTTTATATATTAAAATCATATAGAGAAATATATGTCATAAGATAACACATAAAGGATAGCTGGGTTTTCTATAAAACTTCACTAGTTTATTGTTCTGTCAATATATAAATATAGCATAGAGACTGATCTTGGTAATTCACATTCTGTTTAACTTTTACTAAGCATATATTTCTTACTAGTTAATTGTTATAAAGTAATGTAATACACAAGTAACTTGGAATTCTGTTATGTTTTAACACTTTTGGCTTGTAAAATATCAATAGCCAGTTCACTAAGATATCAAGCATTCATAAAAAAAAGCATATTACATGTTATAATAAAGAAATTATAAACCAATTCAGATACGAAAACTGGTTTAATTGTTATTTATTGGTTTCATTTATATTAATATTACCAAAAAATTATTTGGCTAATCTTTGTTTCTAATTTAAACATTATGTCTAAAATCTTTTCTATTTCTTTCAAAGCTTTTTTTTTCTTTTCTTTTTCAGTTTTTTCATTACTATCAAAATCCTTTTGTGTAAGTGTATCTTCACCTTCAAGCTATTCCAAAAACTTTTTAATATTTTTAAAAATACCTTTTTTATAAAATTCTTTATAATAAGCACACCTTCTATTATAATATGCCAAATAGTAACCATAGCCACAAATAAAAACTATCTCATCTTCTTCACTAAATGAATGCTTACAATAATCACACAAATTTGGTTGGGGCAAGTACAACATACTATAAGCAGTTGGTAAGCATCATAAATCTATATCTTCTTCTAAAGTAGCAAGGTAATATATTTTTAGTTTTTGTTTTTTTATTTTTGTCTTTGGGCCACTTTTTCCATGATTATAAAACAAATCTTGAAAGTATTTTAAGAAAAATAGGCTAGTCTTCTTATTTAAAAAGTCATGCACAGATAAAGTATATAGATATCACCATATTTTATAGTAATTATCTTTAAATACTTTTTTTTTTTTTTTTAACTTAGGCAGTTTCACCAGTACTTTATTAAGATTCTAAGTATATTACATAAAATTATACACTCGTTTACTCCTAATTTGCAAGCCTGACATCACCCAGCTACCCTAATGGTGCCCAAGTGCAACCCGCCACACTAATTTGAAGATTACTCTAAAAATTAGAGGCTGTGTTAAACCAGCCTAAGTGCCACACCAAAATGGCTTCCCTCCTTTATAAACCCTATCCACCATCATTTTTTCTACCAACTTATCTATTTCCTTATTCTTCTTTACTTTCTTTTCTTTCACCCTTTGCGATTCACTCTTTTCTGCAGCTGTACTAATTAGATCGAGGCTTCTTTCTTCTTGGGTTTTCTGTTTCTTGTCATTCTTCTTTTCTTTTCACATACTTAGCTTCTTTTTGATTTTTTGTTCCTTGACGATACCCTCTTCTTGCTCCCATTCTATCACCTTCTTATATCTCCATCTCCAGATGACTTCGTGGAAACAATTTCACACAATATATACCTCTGCATCTAGAGTCTGGTCTGCTTCTTTTTTGGATAAACCCATAGCCTGGAGGTCTTCAGCTACGATAACTTTGTATAGGCCTTTGATGAAACCCTCTCTTCTTTCCTCCCTCTCTCTCTTTTTGGTCTTCTCCGAATATATGCTTTCGAAGGTTCTCTGTATGTAACTTCTCTTTCCTTTTAGCTTCTTCTATGAGGGTTTGTACTGTTTCTGTTGCTACTTGTTCTATCTCTAACCACTGAACTTCTTGTGCTTCGCAACATGCTAAGTGGGCTTGTGTCTCTTCTGCATTTTTCTTACACACTTTACAGCTATTGTCCTTATATAAGTCTGGCCTTCTCTTAGTGAGACTGTCTAGTGTTGAAAGTTTATTGTGCAAATACTTAACTAAAAAGTTAAGTTTTTTTTCTTTTCTGATCGATGTGATTTGACACTGCTTTGTTTTTTTATTCTTTTCCACAAATTTTTCCAATCCTACTTTTGCAGTTTTTCACTTGTTTCTAGCAAACTAGCTATACTTGAAACTCTCCATTCTGCAGCAATCTTTGTTTCTTCAAGATCTTTAATAAATTTTCTTGTTGGCATTTCAATGAGGCTCTTGTTTCAAAACATATTGTATCTAAGCCTGGAGTTTTTATCGATGTTTTGAATATATAATTCTGGTGCATTTAGACCTATTTTCGCTAAACGGTCAGCTTCATTATTCCACTTGTTCTCGCTATGACCTTTAACCTTTATTAACTCCAGATCTAAATTTTTAGATTGTTTTGTCTCTATAATCTTGAGTAACAGATT